GAAAGCTGTGTGGTTTCAAAGGACATCTTAAAATCCATACCTTTGTGTTTCTCTTTTTATCTAATAGTTTATAAGCAATGCTTCAAATTTCTCTATTAAAAGAAAAAAAGACAAAACAAAACCAACAAACCAAAAACAGAAGGTGAGAAGAATCAGGTTTTGGGTTTATTTACTTTGTACATCTGACAGCACAGTTTGTGAGTCATTTCTGTCTGTTGTGGGGAGAAGGGAAAGAACGAGCGTCATTCTGCCAGATGCAGAAGAAGTGTTTTTCCAATCATGAGACAGGTGATCTCTATAGAGAGGTGTTTCAGAGGTAGGCTTGGTGCCCAGATCATTTTAATTATTCACTTTTTGGATTTCCCTTGACTTCAAATTGGTGATGTCTCCTTCAGGTTTCAGTCAGACATCTCACCCCTAATATTAGAGCTGAGGAAGCTCCTGCCAGCAGGGACTGTTTGTGCCCCAGCACCAGGAAGGCTCACCTTCATTGGCAGCAGATCTAAGAAAGGCAGCAGTTCTTGCCTCACAAATCACCACAGACCCTGGGAAATTCCTCAAGGTCTTTTGCTGTGGAAGTCGAGCCATGTCTATGGGTGAAGGATGTGGCTTCTGACGTGGTTCAGAGGGGCACTAGCATCAGGGAAAATTAAAACATATTTGGTATGGATGATTTGAGCCTGTCTGTGTTTAAATCGGTTCACAGAGAGCAGTTCTGCTCTCCCCTGGAGGTGAGTTTTAAAAACTGCAGAGGCGCTGCAGCCCCTCACAGAGCCAGGCTGATCAGAAAGAAATGGGATATTTACCTTTAAAAATATTAATTCCTCTCAGCACAGGCCCATGGCTCTGCTTGGTGTAATCATGCTTAAAAACAGCTACAGCAAAGGGCCCTAACTCATAATCCACACAGAATTAGGCTTTGATCAACAATGACATTACCTTCTCCTGTCACCCCTCTTCTGACTGTGTCTGCCCCTGCAGCAAGGATGGCAGGACCCCAATCTTATACACATATATAGCAAATAAATTCATCTCTGTCCTAAAAAAAACTTCCAATCTAAATGGAAGGGACATTCAATGTAATGTTTAATATTCTTCTGTAATATATAAGAAGGAAAAGCGCAAGGTAGCCAAGAAGTATTTAATAGCTCATGTTCTCAAAGTACTGTTGATTATCAGCCTATTAGCAGGACAGGCACTGTCAAAACCAGCCCAAGGAGAAGGGAGGCTACCTGATAAGGAGTCAGGATGGAGGTTTGACTACATGTCAAACAGCAGTTTCTCTGGCACAGACACAACTTTATATGAAATTTCATCTCTCACCTGACTGAAGCATTTTGCAGTGACACGTGAATTACTTGTCAGAAATGCCACTGTTGCTTTGTCTCATTCATTAGTGTTTTACTTAGGATGAAAATGTGTAAATTCCAGCACAAAGAACTTTGTGTGTTCTGCTTCCCCCAGCTGCTGAAGGAGATGGCCTTTATCTCCCCTGTCCAGCTCATGTTCCAGCAAGCTCCTATTACCACCTGTCATTCACATTCTGTGTGTCAGTGCCGCAGTTGGACCACCAGCCTTCAGCTCTGGTTATCTGCTGGGCCACAGTTACGGGGAGTCTTTTTCACAAAGAAATTAGAGTTTGTATTGCTGCAGCTGCCAGGGGTTCTGAGGTGTTAGTGCACGTGTAGGGGGGCACCTCACTGACGGCGAGAACTTGACAGGAAAGTGAGTAAGGGTTCACTTTCACTTCTGGAGAGAAAAAGAATTGTAGGGGTGGGGATGCTCATGACTTCCTGCAGTCCTGCTGCCTCTGAAGCACCACGTCCGTAGTGCAGACAGTCATGGGCAGGAGCTACAGCCTCCCTCCTCCTGCCACCTCGGCTCCATGTCTTACCTGAACTAGCAGAGGCTTCATTTCCATAAGTAAGCTCAGTTTCTGCATCCCTTTTATCCATGACTGTGGCCAACAATCAAGCAATTTGTGTTGTGATTGCCATGAGGAAAAGCTACTGAACAGCCATGAGGAAGTAACCTTACTCAGTTTCCATCAGCAGCCCTCCTGGTGAGAGGCCAGATTAGCTCCCACTTGTAAGTGGGAACTTGCTTGGCTGAATACAAGCAACACGTAGGACTCATAAAACAGCCATAAAGATTCTTCCAGGTGGTATAAAATGACATTTTTTGTGTCTGCAATGCATAGCACTGGAGAGGCTGATAACCCTGTGCTGTACAAGGCGTCCTGCAGAAGCACAGGGTGGCGACCAGCTGAGGACCATTCTATGCACTCTGTGACATTGTGCTTGGCAGTCATTGTTTGTCATTGTGGGGTTAGCACATTCTCCAGTGAAGGGGCAGGATGGGGGCAGCCTTTTTTTTAAAGAAGTCTCATGCTCGTGATTTGCTTAGTTCTCTAGTGTTTTTACTTGCTCTTTGTTGTTCCTTCGTTAAGGGACAGAACACCCTCAAGCGAGGTGGAGTGCCAATATATTGGGCACTGTTCAAATACAAAGAATAAGCAACATTTGTTGTACTGAAGAGCTTGTGATCAAAACAGCCAAGACAAAGTGTGAAAGCACAGGGAGTATTTGAAATCCGAAGTTATTTCCTTCCCTTTTGTACTTAGCAAATGCGGCTTCAGTCTGGCCACACAGATTTTCCCACCCACCTCTCTTATTTTAAGAGAGCTGAAATTACCATGTTCTTACTAGCAAAGAAAGGCCTTCCCTGTCATTTTCTAACCACAACTATTTGGAATGAACCACAGAGCTTGGTTCAGAGCACAGTGCTTCTGATGCATCCTTTTTCCCCAATCCCACAATGTAGTGCTAGTCATTCTGACATGTCACACAGGGAACAACCGCATTCTTGACAGACACCTTCACGTTACTGGATAACCTAAGTCACATGGATAACCTAAAACATGGAAAGGGTGTATGGTTTCTAATCAAACAATCTGATTTTTGAGTAAGGAATTGTGGGAGGGAGACCTCCCCATTTATCCAGCTCTGTGCTTTGAAGTAGTATAGGACATCTTCAAAAGACAGTTCCAGAGCCTGGGATCTCACAAGGCTTTTGCAAGAATCCAGAGCCCTGATTGCAGACTAAGGGGGTGCTGGTGAGAGGCAAGAAGGCTGTTTTGATTTAAACAGGCATAGTACCTACTGCAGCAGCTCACTGGTACCTGGTGGAACTATCATAATGAGTCCTTATGAATACCCTGGGTCATCTGGCAGCTACGTATGGTGTTAGGGGAGGCACTCAGAGTTCCCATATCCCTGACTTTAACAGCAGAGACTATCTACAAGTGATACTCCAAAAATACACTGGAGAAAAGACAGTCCAAATAGACACAGCAGTGACCAGAAGAAGCAACAGAGAGAGGGCCAGGATGGTGATCTCACAGCAGGTCCGCGGCAGAGATTTGCCTGTAGATTCTAGACCTGTGTGATGTTCCTACTAAGTAAAGAAGGTGGGTATGGTGGAAAGTCCATGTATTTTTGGTGGTATATATATATGTCTGCAAATGCCCCCAGTTTCTGAACCAAATTCCAGGTGAATTCACCAAATAATCTTACCTCTGTCTTCAGAGTGGGGAGTGTCAAATCCATTTTTTTTTAATGCAGCTGCAATTAAAAAGAGAAAAGCAGCAGAGAAAGAACAGAAAAACTGTTGCAGAAGAGAAGCAGGAGCAGGGGCAGGAAGGAGTAGAAGGGGGCAAGGGCACCAGAAAACTGGAGCATGTCACTAAAACCAGGCTGGCTGTGACTGCTTTGGAAGATTGTGGTATCTTAGGGATGGGACCAGGAAGAATAGGAGATTCCTCACGTGCAGCTGCTAGTGCACAGATGCAGGACGTGCTGTGCAGGTAGCACACATCACACACTACTGATCTGGGCGTGAACAGCGGGATGACACATGGCACTGACCGTGTGTGTACTACAGCTCGTGTCCTATAGGCTCCCTTCCATGCCCAGGGCTCTCCAGGCAATTCAGAGAGGCCCACAAAGGGAGGAATTAGAGAGGAAAAATAAACTACCAACTTTATGTTGACTTGAGTTGTTATCTCTTGAGGCAGGCGTGTAGCATCTGCAGCTATCCATTATTCGGTGTGTGGGTGGCAATTGTGACATTTCAGGAGCTCAGAGTCTAACTGTGATGAAGCTGGAGGCCAAAGATCAAAATTAGACTCATCTGGGTGGGATAAAGTTCAGCCTCATCTGATACTTGTGTCTTTCCATAACACCAGCTGACAGAGTTATGAAGTTTGTCCTCGAAGTGTTCTCAGGAAGAAATAAGAAATGAAATATTGCTGCAGAAATCGAAAACAAGAACAGGATATTTTGAAGATTTTACCAACACTGAACAGGGCATCTAGATTGGAACTGGAGTCATGCAGAGGGTAGAATCTGAATTTTGTGAAGGATTTAGAGATTTTTACAGTGATATTTAAAAGGAGGCCGTATAATGAAAAATTCTGTATTTTGATATAAGAAACGTGTGAAGAAAATCTCCCAAGTAATTTCAAATGTACACTTCAACAGAGCCAGAATATGTCAAGTATTTTGTAGTATTCTATGAAATGCATCACTGAAAAATTGGAATTAAACAAAAAATTCAAGCTTTTTTTCCTTTCAAAAAAATTTGAAACATGATTATTCACTCTGTGTTTGTCTAAAGCAAAGTTTCAGAAAAATCAATGGTTTCATGAAGCATTCGGGTTCAGCAAGGGAGTGCCCGAAATGAAAAACTGTTCCTATTGAAGTTTCTCCATAGAACTCAGTTCAGCATCAGATCAATATTCAAGGCTCTGGTGGCACTCTGTTCTTTCCCCGTGGAGCCACTAGACTAAGCCGCTTTCTGTACAGACATCTTCCTTTAGGCACTTCCTCATTGCTTGCACCCGCTCCTCTCGGGCAGCTTGGAAATTGATATGTCTGTCACTCTTCTAACTTCTCTTTGTTTTTTATCTCCCTCCTTCTCCCCTCCCTGCTCTCCTCCAGGAACCTTCTGCATCATTTCACTGTGCACGTGCGTGGCTGGAATCAACTTTGAGCTCTCCCGCTACCCCCGCTACCTGTATGGACTTCCCGACGACATCAGCCACGGCTATGGCTGGTCCATGTTCTGTGCGTGGGGGGGCCTGGGCCTCACTCTTATCTCTGGCTTCTTCTGCACTCTGGCCCCTTCTGTCCAACCTGTCCCCAGGACCAACCACCCCAAATCTAGACCTGAGAATGGGACAGTGTGCTAAAACAAATAGCAAACAAATACACACACACACGATACATATATATATATATATATGTCTGTGTATGCCTATACATGCATATATATGTATATATAATTATAAATATATATAAAATCTCAAATTAATGCCAGTGCCAAGGTAGAGCTGAGTCCAACACGGCACTCACATCTCCACTGGACTCTGTGTTGCTTCATTCTTTCTCACAGTAATGGGAAAGCTTTTCTCTCACATGGCTCTTCCATCCAACTTTTAACTTCGGCATCATACCTTAGAGGTCAAATGAACCTACAGTTGCACCTACCTACTGCCATTTGGGAAGGGGAACAGGGGATCCATATGGGGAATCTGGAACCAGAATCTGCACAGGACATGGTGGGGGTGGGGGCGCGGGGGGGAAAATGACACAAAAAGCGTGTCCATTGCAGCCAGAAGGGAAAATACAAACAGCAAGCAAAGGAGCAAATGAAGCATTTGAGCCACCTCAACAACGTACCTCCTCAAGGCCACTATCAGAAACCCACCCACTTTCTTTTTCTTTCTTAAAACAAAATGACAGAAAGCCTGTCCTGTCACTGGTTTTGGGGTTTTGTTGGGTTTTTTTCCCTTAAAACACAGAAAACAAAACAGACAAAACATGTGAGGAAAAGCAGACAAGTATTTTCTCTTTGCCTGCCAAACTTTAGAGAGAAGCAAACAAGTAAAAAAAAAAAAAAAGTAGTAAACCCCTACAGATTTAAGAAAATAAAACCAGAAACAGCAACAACAACAAAAAACTCCAAGAGGACATCTCAGCGGACTTTCCAACAATGCGGTTTTAATCTTCCAGCTGCCTTACATCCAGGCTTACAACTGAGGCTGAACTGCTAATGTAAATGCAGCAGAAGGCCTTTTGAAAATGCTGTGATACATGTGTGTAGAACTTTTTCTTCCCTCTTCCTTTATTTATTTTTTTTAACAAAAAGAAAAATTTAAAACATTGCAATGTGATTGTCCACCAAACCATCCATGCTGTGTTTGTGGCCCAAGACTGAGGCACCGCAACGGCAGAAACGTGAGGAAATCCGTCAGGTCTGAGACAGCACATCTTCTCTGATGGATCTTGGGATGTTTTTTTTGTTTTCACGGAGCACCTGAGGGTTCAGGATGGTGGATCCAGAGGAAAACCGACTAACGAGAAGGGAGGTGGGGGGAGCCCTGGCAGTTGTTCTTCCCAGATATTTGCTGGAATGGGATTTCATCAAGTTTCCATTTTGGATGTTTAAGGCAACTGGGCAAAAGCCATTGCTGAGGAGGAAAAGAGAGCTAATTTCAGTAAGAAAGAAGTAAGAGATGCCTCTCATTGTGTTCATGTATGCCAAATAAGACCTTCCTACATCTTGTCTTTGGAAACTGGATCACTGGATATCTCCACTCTCCATCTGGGAGAACTGTGTACAGATGGACGTGAAAGGGTCAGATGCAGAGAACAGAGATCCATTTCCCATGAGCTTAAGCATTGTATGATATAACTGTGAATCTGCAAATGGAACTCTCTCTCTTTTTTGGTCTTTCTCTTTTTCCTGCTACTCCTCTCCCTATTGTCTCCTTTTTCCTTCACTCTGCTCTTCCCGTTGTTCAGGTCATAGGTCCCAGAAGATCTAAATGAACAGCTAAGTCTGGAGAGGTGGGTGAATGCCATTAGAGGAAGGAAATCATTTTGGCTATGAGGACACCAAGTCCTTGCAGGGGACCCGTGGCTCAGGGGAATGTGGGGAAGAAGGGCCAAGGGTGTAACCAAAGGGACTGAAGAAGGATGACTGAATTGCCATATGCAGGAGTGAGGGCACCACTGACAAATATACAGACAAAGGGAGACAGGACAAAGAAAACAGGTCTCCCCTAAACCAACCCAACCCAACATGCTCTTAATTCAGGGATAGTACCAGCAATCCTTTTGTACATGATAGCTGCATGCCATCATGAGTCAATAAAAAGTCATCCTCTGCATCTAAAAAATCTCACAAGGAGAACAAGGCAACCCATTGAGGCTGTGCCTGCTGCACAGAAATGCAGGCATTAATTTCCAGGTCATACCATTTACTCAAGATGGCAAGAAACAGTATTGCTTGGTTTAAAAAATCTGGCTAACAAATAATTCTTACACAATACAATTCCATAGCCAGCTATTCTCCTTGCAGCCCCTCTTCCCCTTTACACCTTGTGTGATGATGTTGCTGTATTAACTGTACCCCGAGAAATGAAGTTTCTGAAGGGCATGTTGGAGTAGGGTAGATTTGGGATCCTTTCCTTCTTTCTCAACTACCTAGCTTTTGCTTTTCGTTGTCTACAAATTCCCCAAACATGCCAATGCCAGCTGCTAAGTCAGTGTGTTGCCACTGAAGTGCCATCCCTGTCAACTGAAGTTTCATAATTTCATTTTCCATTAGATGTGACCAGAGAAATTATTTATTTATTCATGTTGAAAATACAAGCCTTGAAGAAACTTCCTTTATAAGCAGATTGGTTTATTTATTTTTTTCTGGCAAGGTTTTCAAATAGAGTGGTTTTGAAAAGTTTTGAAACCATTTGACTGTGCAAGTGCCTACTTGGTAAGGAGGATGATAAATTACCATTGAACAGAAGAAGGAAATTTAAAATAAAAACAGCCTTGGAAAGCTAAATGAAAGCTGAAAGCAGAAAACCAATAACTGGAAACCAAGAGAGACCTATAAAAAATTTTTCATTTCTTTGAGATACGAAAAATTTTGCAAAAAAACAACTTCCCATTAAGATATTATTAGGAAAATTATAGCTGTTTCATTAAAACAGCTTTGAATGCAGACTTTCTTCCTCCTCTGCAGGGCTGAGTGTGATAGGGAAGGTGTTTCATGTGAATACAGATATCTGGAGTGACCCAGGTAAACCAAAGTGCACAGAGGTATCTAGCTGGAGTCCACCATCAGGCCCTGTGGCATGGAAAGCAGTACAGCAGCTCCTGTGATGATGCATCCTTGTGTGGTCCATGAGTGTTCATAGGGTGTATTTTTCTACAGATACAGTTTTGAAAGAGGTATAGCAGTAAGATTTAAAGAAATTGAAGTAATTTTGCTGTTTCATGGATTTTCAAAGCTTTGCTTTCTTTCTGCAGCTGGCACAGAAACAGTTTTGCCTTGATGGAGTATTCTGTGACAGTGTTGGTTTACAAGCTATATATGAGCCTGTGTGTCCATCTGTGTGTGGCAATGGTGGAAGAGGGTTATGATTATTTTCATTGTCAACAGAAAAGTGTTAACCCCGGATCATTGGGCCAGTTCTGTGATTTTCCACTTGCTGTAGCACGGGGTCTGTAAGGCGTTTGTGGCTATAAAATGTCTTAAAAGCTATGGGAATGTCTGAAGCAGCAGGTGATCATATCACCTTAATCTCCAACTGGATCCCCCAAAACAGTTTGGACTGGTTGTCCAAACACCAGTTTTCTCATCAATGCTTTAAGTAAGGGCAAAACCCCCTTGGGATATTGTGAATTTTCCTCCGTGCTACTCACAGAACTGGGAGGAGTCCCACGTGCTTCCATACCCTTGAATGGGGCTCACAGCCCCACCACACTTTCTGTTGGCTCAAACTCGTCTTTAGAGTAGGGTTGACTCAAAATACACCTAGATCCAAATTTGTGATGGTTAGTGTCTCCATCTATCCTGAGCCAAAGCACACTCATATCTAGTCTGAGTTTCTGCATTTTGGGGAGGCTTTGAAATATCCTTCTGAACAGAGATTCAAGCTTTTTGACTAGTGCGTGGTTTCTTAGTTGGAGGAGTAGCTAATTAGAAATCTGTTATCTGTTATCCCAGCATTAAGGGGCTTGACCCCATCCCTCAGAACCGCTCTGGCCAAGTGCCTAGGCATGTGCTTTACTTGGAGCATGTGACTAATCCCCTTAACTTTGGTAGACTATTCATATGCTTAAAGTTAAGAATGTGCTTTCCTGGGTGACATTCAGCTTTCTGCAGAGTCCAGCCCCGACTCTTCTTTTCCTATCCTCCCCCTGCAGATAAAGTGACACTCTTGTCCTAGCCTGAGGTATCAGCATGTGCTTGGCCTCCCTTTCCATGAGGTAGAAAGGCAGGGTCCATACCTGGCAGGTTCTTTCCCGCATGTGGCCTTTCATGTTGCACTGCTGGGACAACACTTCTCTGTGCTCCAGAGACCATGGAAGTCACTTGACTGCAGTGAACACAGGTATCACAAAACACCTATCCCAAGGATGCAGGATGAATTGTCTCAACCCACTGCACTCTGCAGGCTGAGGTTTTGTGTAGGTGACCCTCAGTTATTGTACAGTGACATTGCCCTGTGGCTGTAGCGAGTCAGCTCCAGGGGTTCTGCTCTCCATCCCTGCCAGGGACACTGGATATGAGAGGGGGCTACATGGCAGGAGAACATGTGATATGTGCCCTGTATCTTATGTACTGTATAGGACACCTTCTTCTTCAAGCTAAAGCTGTTTGTGTGTTACGTTTCCTGACTCATATTGGCCGCCTGTATATATCATCTCTCCCTTCTCCCTCTCTGCAAACACACAACTGATCTTCCCTCATCTAAATAAATAGTACAGTCCCTCCAGTTCTTTTTCTAGTTAAGCCTTTTTTCCTTTCATTCCACCCCAGGGACAGTAACAAGTGGATCACAAACCACCAGTGACCAGAGTAATTTCTTTGAAATATTGCTTTTGAAAAGTTGCCATTACTTTTTAAAATGTTATTCTGGCTGCAATAACAAATGAAAGGGACAAAAAACCACCCTGAGTCCTCTAAACAGAGTATCCTCATCCTCCCAGGATTGAATCGTGAGAGTGCAGGTATTCTGCTTTCCTGTAGATGCAAGTCATTTGGGACCATTTTTAGGTATGGCACATTAGCTGTGCAGTTCATTAGATGGTGAATAAAACAACGTTGGTGAGGGAGAGGATTGATATGCAGGGGGTATCTCAGATTCCCAAGCATTCCTGAAAGAACTGTGTCTCCATGGCTGTCCATTTACCCACCATGCAGCGCCGCCGAATCAGGCTCATCCCTGGAGCCCCACTGATAAGCAGAGCTCAGAAGAAAATCACTGTAATCTGTCCTTAATTCTTGAGTGCCAAGCTAACTGCCAGCAGTGAAATGGAGGGAAAATAATATGTTACCAAGTATAGCTTAAATAAAGACATACATTATTCGGGCTCTTTCTTCTGTGTGTCTCTACGTAGGCCTAGAAGAGCTACAGGAACGCTCAGGCACATCACAGGAACCAACTCTGCATTTCTTTGCCCCCAGGTTTCACACTCTTTCGTGTCCCAAACTGCTGTGCTCATCCAGCCAGCAAGGGGAGACTCAAGGTGAAAAACTGAGACAGCTCTGAACGATTGCCAGGTACCACTGACAGGTAAAGAGTAAAAAGTGTGCATGAAGCACAAGCAGCATGTAAAGATCAGCGATGGATGAATTTCCAAGGTCAGGAACCAAAGTTCAAAAAGGCCTGAAGTTTGATAGCAAACTCCAGGCCAGATCCATAAAATCTTGATTCGGCCAGTCTAAGCTGAAAACTCAGAGCCCAGGGCTCAGCTCAAAACTTATAGCCCCAC